TCTCATGGTTGCATGGGATGGGAAAATTCCCCTGGTGGAAACAAATTCCCACCCGCCGGAAACTGAAGACGGAAGTCGGACGTCGGCAGGCGGGGCGTCAGTGTACAGGGAAGGAGTGTCGCGCCCCGTTCTTATTTTTTTAATTAATTAATAAATTAAAATTGTAATTACCACACTATCCTTCATTAAATCAGATTAATTTGGAACATTATATTAGAATTTGAATGAATGGTTGGACTTGGCTTAGTCATGTGACTAAGGGAAACCTTAGTCACCTAATCTTAGCCCTCCATACCACCCTGGTAGTGGGGTGATAACTGGTTGTTATTTGTTAACAATGAAGAATGTGGAAAATGACAGTTCATATATTCCTACTATCATGTATTCAATCATCCTACACGCTACCACCATGACACATTTTCATATCACGTGGTATGATCTTATGTAATACCAAGCATTGTCACTATGCTATAGACTGCTGCTAAATGTCTCAATTATTTGAAGAGAACAATTAATATGATTTATCTATTCTAAAAAATAATTAAATTATGATTTAGAAAGAAAGAGATATACTCCGTTAAAATTTATACGAAAAAGGTTGGAGTATTTGCACAAATGGTGATGTGTTAGGTTATGTATGGTTATTGACAATATAGTTACTGACTAGAACTGATCCCTTTCTAAGCATATTGGATGACAACTGACCATAATTCTTTTATTTTGCATAACTTTTTAGTATTAAATTTTTAGTGGGGATAGTTTTAAGAAGATATTTATTTATTGTAACAGTTTGTAGTATACTTTTAGTGTTTGTTTCAACTTTTAGCATAGTAAGTTGTATTTCTTGAAAAATTATAAAAAATAAAAAATGACTCAAAATAAAAAATGACTCCATCGCAAAGTTACGATAGTCTAAAGGTACTAGAGCGATCCACCTGCCGATGGCTATGTCAAGACTAAAGTTCAATGATAAATTTCAGTACAATTGTGGTATAGTGAGAACTCTTCTACTTATCATTTTTTTTATTTTGATGAAAATCAAAAATTGAAGAGTTACATACCGTTTGGTATAAATGGTTTTCATAATTTTGAGAAATTCATGTTGAAATTAAATATTTTCGTGTTTGGTATTAACAAGAATTCATTTTCAAATCTAAATTTTGAATTCTACGGAATTGGAACCAGTTATAGCAATTCCGAGGATTTGAGATAGAATTTCCAAATGAATTCCACAAGTATTTACAAATTATAATAGAATGACATGATTATTCTCTTTTATTAACTAAATTACTTATACATATGACATACCAAACACATAGCATTTCACTTGACAATGATTCTACACGATAGTTCATTTTACAATGAAATGAATTCTCGATTCATTTGGTACCAAACGATCTGTTAATAACCAATATGATTCAAACACTTCTGGAAAAATTACTTTTTCAGGACGAATTCTTTTGATCTAAATAAAATACTAACTGTCGTGATGATTTTTATTTATCAAAAGTGAGAAAACTCGTTCACATCTTAATTCTAAAACCAGACCTCTCAAATTAATTAAACAATCCTACTACCCTTTCCAAGGAGGTAGAGGTTAGGGTGCTCACACCCAATTTGTTAGTGTAGTACTAACAACAAAACTTAATAGAGCGGATCACAAGTTTTGTAAAGCACACCAAAAATCTTATAAAGTATGACAAAATTAGTTCTCTCAAGTATACTAGAAACCTCATAGAACATATCATAAGTTTGTTAAAGCAACCTATAAACCTCATAAAACATATCACAAGTTTATTAAAGACGAGAAACGAAATATATATACGACAAGTTTATTGACGCATACCACACTTTTCAAAACATACCACAAGTTTTTGAAAGCATACCAAAAACCTCACAAGTTTCATAAAGCAGAACAACCTCATAAACTTTCACATGTGTAAACTTTAAAAAGTTTAGGTATCAAAATTTAAGACATAGCATTTTAAGGTACTAAAATTTGATTTTACATTAAGATATTTAGGATTTACATTAAACAAAAATTGACTTTAGGCCTCTTTTGGAGAGATTGATTTTGAGACTAGATTTACTGAACCTGTAGATTTAACCGTAAGTTATATTTTTTTGTTTCTTTTTGTGTAGTGAATTTCATCTTCACATACTTAAAATCTTTTAAATCTAGAGATGTAAAATCTCTCATAATCAAAGATATTTTATATCTTGATCTATGAGAATTCTGTTCCTCATATATTATCTTTTTTTAGTTTATCCAACTAAATACCGTAATCAATAAATTCTCAAGATTTTCTTAGTCATTTTAATTCTTTTCGTGAACGCTAAACATGTTATTTGCTATAAAAATATAATTTTAATTTTTATTGTATTTCAATAAACGTTACGAAATAATAAAAATTAAAAAAAGTCAACAATCCAAAGAATTAGAATCTTTGCATTGTTTATGATCTAGAGATATACATTACGATTCTCCGGACGAGCCCTTTAAGTATAAAATCTTAACATCTATTAAGTTTTAGGTCTCAAAGTGTACTTTGGATATGAAACCCAAATTCATGGGATCATGGAATCGAGGGTAAGAGAACTAATATAGGATTAGTTACTATAATACTCATAAAATTAGTGTTAATAGAGCCATAATATTATGGGTGTTAGCACCCTATCAGATCTCTTCTAGATTTTCCATGCAATTTAAAGTTATATGTTTTTTTTTTGTCATATATGGTATATGTTTTCTCTGTAACGTTGTTGATGCTTTCTTTTATAGATACTATTACTGTTGTTGCTTATAATTTGACAAAGTAATAGTCTGAAGGCCGGTAGGAATTGGGCTGTCAGACCTACTATGTAGTGAGGTTAGTTTAACCTTTTTTAAGTTTTAAAGTTGGTGTAATGAATAAGTATATTATGGTTATTGATTATGATAGGAATCGGCAGCAGGTATTCGGAATCGAACTATCGCCAAAATGTCAGGAGCAAATGTTTCAAAGAAAGGGACAATTAAAGGGAAGAATAAAGTTTTGTTGTAATTAATAGCTGGATGTACCTGCGGGCGATCGAGGATGATTTCGAAGTTACTAAAACAACTAGACAAGGGAATTAAGCTCTCTATCCATTTGTGATCTGGCAAAGGTTTGACTTAGTTCTTGTTTCTTTGATTTCTTCATCTATAATAATTGGCTGTATCCCAAGATGAAGAATTCAGAAAAATAAAAAACGGCCGAAATATGTAGCTAAGGTGGGCATTGGTATGGTCGAGCAGCACCGAAGCACAGTGAATCGCATCGTTAAGTTTACGGTACAACACGCGGTCTACATTTTATGCAATTTTTAGTTTGCCATAGGTTCAAATCAACGTCGCAAACTGCAAGATGACATTTCAAAATTTTTAAGTTGAACTCTCTTCCTATAGCCTATAGCCCATTTATATTTAATGGTTTATATCTCGTTCATTTTTAGGAATCTCAAATATTTTGCACTGAAATCATATTAATTGTGCTCTACAAAATAACATGGATGCTGATATTTTGAAATAAAAGTTTTAAAGACATTTATTACTGTTCTTTACCATGGTTGTAATTCTTTTTTTTTTCGTTGAATCATGGTTGTAGTTCTTGGTAACACATAAGATTATATCATAGTGGTATGAATATACAACAACCGTAAAATGATTGTATACATAATAATACGAATATGTAACTATAATTTATTACGTTTCACAACCATCTATCACTAGAAGATATAAGTCGATTAAAAAGTAAGAAAAATAATAAAGTTTAATCTCAACCCTTAGATCCGAATTAAGTTGAAACTAAAGGAGCATATTTAGTTATATAAAAATGCATAACCAATGGTTATACACGCTACCATAGGCATATATTACAGGAGTACATAACTAGATCTAGTCCCATGGTTTTTTGTGGGACAAGATCTTAGGGATGAGCAAAGCAGTCAAAATCCTGATTTAAATCGTAAAATTATACAATTTTACGATTCAAATCTTTGAGTTAATTTTACTTATATACGTTAAAATTTGCTAAATTATGCCTCTTTTCCTCATCCTGCACTAACATCATGTAGTACTCGCACACTAACCACCATCGACCATTATCAATTCACATTAATGTATTAATCATCATCGATTGACAACTTCCCAACATTAAACTTGATAAATTGGAATGTTAATCTTGACAAATTATCATTGTAACTGTGGCTGAATTTTTTAGCCATAAACGAGAAGATCATTATCAACTATTAAGTGATGTGGCTTCATCATCGATCATTATCAATTCACATTAATGTATTATTCATTATTTTTCTTATTAATATTATTCTGATGTGGTTGAATCTGTTAGCCATAAACGAGAAGATCTATGTAGAGCCACTTCTTGAGTTCCTCTCAACTATTAAGTGCGCAATTCTCACCGTCAACCGAGACTTTGCAAGCAGAATTACTTTTCACTCGGAGGAGAACCACGAGCTATAAGCTTCAATGAGTTCACCGAGGCGATATGGATCTATCCTCCTGGATTTTTGCACACTCTGTATGGACCACCTCTTCAAGGTGAAGAACTATCCACTTGCAACCATTCAGAGATCTTCTACATCAACCACTTGCAAAGTGCGAACCACGAAGATCGTTTTGATCCTGTCACTACAAAGAGCATAACCCTGAGATCACAATAGAGAATTATCCATAATGTTCTCTCCGCACGGTTGCACCCAATGAGAAGAGCGGTAGCAATTTGTTGAAGAGGGTTTGGTCATTCTCAAAACGCTCTAGAAGGGTGTTACAAACTTTAAAGTATAGACTATTCATGGAGGTGTGTTCATTACTAGACTTGCGAGGCACTTTGGAATAGATTTGGAGGCTAGCAGATGCATAATAATGAGATCCACCAACCCTTCATCGAAGATCACCTATCCAACATGAAACTTATCTAAGTGGTTAGGGCCGAAGGAAAATCAAGGATATAGTGCACTGGATGACCGCCCTTCAACTTCAAGATGGTCAATCAAGAAACAATATGAGTGAAGGCGGATCATCTTCGGGTTCCCATGCAACTCTTCTAAGCACACTCATAGAGCAAAATGCTAAGCGTATTGAGCAAAACACCCAATTACTTGAAAACCAAAGGGAGATTCGCTTCTTGCTCAAGCATGAGAGGAAGGATAAAAGGCAAGTCATTGGAGTTGTGCTTGTGATAATGAAGAAGATGCAAAAGGACCTTCAGATGGTGGAGCAATTATTTCCTCTTTTGGCACAATATGAGAGCAATGATCTTATATCCAAGGAGATAGAGCTTGATGCGGAGGAGGACGGCGACTTAGACACCACCCACGAGGCCTAATTTTTTCTATCTTTTATTTCCTTTCTATCTTTTGACTTTAAACAATGTCTAATTTTTCTACGCTTTTAATTTTCGTGCCTCATACTTTTAATTACCTAGAAGTAGTACTCTTAAATACCTATCCATTTTTGTTATTTTGTGTTCCATCACCTTCTCTTTTATTTTTACTTATGGGCTTTATCGTTCTATACCAACCAGGAAGACAAAGACCTTGTGCACCTAGCATCTTTCCCTTCAATGTGCTTTGAATTGCTAGATATTCGATATGGCGTGCTTTATAGGGACTAGTTTGCATTTACCAGAATTGTCGGTGTGTGAGGGATTTTACTCTTATCTTCCTCTTCGTTGAGGTGATAATGTTTGCAACTTAGGTAAAGACATGTGTGCGTGACTTTCTACCTATTTTGGACTAAAAAAAGTTTTGCAAAATTTGCTCATCTTTTTTTATAATTGAGGTTCTTACGTGAGAGAAAACCGAACATAGTGTATGAGTTGAGCCGTCAAAAGGCTCTTCTCTTAGTTTGGAGTGCCAATTGAGGATGTATTTGGGGTTCGGATAGCTTTACCCCGTCCTGATCATCTTTACTACGTTCCACCCCACAAACACCTCTCCTCCTCATGGGCTCGTATGGCAAGGTAGAAAGCACCTTTTATCGAGCCACGAGACCTTGGCTCTCGTTTGAACCCGACATGTATTGCGAACCCGTCTGTCGTTGAGACGAGGTATGCTGACTGGGAACTAGCGCTCGGGCAATGAATCCGAACATCAAGTTCCCACATGATGCCAAGTTTGGGAAGGCAATGTTTCTTCCGCTCTTGGTTACAAGGGAGAGATGCCAATTTGCAAGAAAATTTGCAAATGTTTGGTGCCAAGTGAAGCAAAGTTTAAAAAAGGAGACCAACAACAATAACTCTTACATTGAAAAGAAATAATAAAGGCCACCTTCAAGATTTCATTGCTTTTATTGTTTTTGAAAGTTCCCCGCTGCACACTTTGAATGTCTAGACCTATTTAGTTGACATAGTCCTCATGCAAGATTTTTTGGGTTCACAGTGAGTTGGGTGTAACATTCACCTGACCTCGACTATCTAACTAGTGCCTGCTTTCACTTCATGTCATCATCTAATCAATGAAAAACAAGGAAGTTAGGATAGTACAAACCATAATGGATGGATAGCATCGATGATCTTAGAATAAAGCATCATCCTTAGTCATGCATAGTAGGGTAACTAGTCCTCTTCTGCACCTCTAAGAAGATGCTACTGCACGAGATTAGTTTCTTTGTTTCCCATAATAGTAGTATAAACAATGCATATAGTAACATATAATCGAATCATAAGAATCGCCGGACTAAAGCATCTAATAATCATAGCATTGAATAACTCAAGCTATAGATGATACAAACATAGATTGACATCAAGCATCGAGGATAAGAATAATAAACACAATAGGAATCTCATTAAATCATAGAAATAGTACACAAAGCATCATCAAATTACATTCCTAAACATATTGAATTAGTTACACATAGAGAAGTAGAACTATATCACCATTGATACACACATTGATGGTGAATGCTTCTTAGTCGAGCTTCAGCAGGGCTTCACCTCCTTCTATGGATTTCTAAATCGTGCCCAGTGGGGTAGAGTGCTAGTAAAAGGTGTTTTTCGAATGTCTATGTCTAGCCTACTATTTATACTAGTTACAAAAGGGAGCTTTCTAGTATTTTCCTCCTAAAGTCAACCAAAATAATCCTTCTATGACTTGAACTCGGATTCCTTCGACTTGTGGACGAAGTTACTTGCAAAGGAAACTTCCTGAAAGTCCTCAATCGAGCGACTGTACCATGATGGTTGGAAATGCCGCTCTCAATTCTTCTCCAAACTGGCCTATTTTGGTAGGAAACTTACTCTTGGGCTTATGGACTTGCTCCTAAAATTTTAGCTTTGATAGACCATTAATTACACATGTTTTTACCCCTATTCTTTAGCCGTTTGAGACATTAATTCTCGTGTTTTAAGCCGATTTCACGCTAGGTTGTGCGTTTATGTCATATTTCAGGGCTTAGCGTGGGCATCGAGGCGAAGGAACGAGTTTCGGGTCGAAAGGAGCATGTGAGGTTTGAAGTGTGCTGAAGAACAAAAATACCCGGCCATGATCAGAAATACCCGGCCGGGTATTATTTGGCGATGACCGGGGATCTGAAGCTTTGGGAGTCTTTGAGAAACAAAAGGGGGCCCGGGCAGGAGGCAAAAATCCCCGGTCGGGGATTCTTGGCCATGACCGGTGATTTTCCCCTGTCACCCGACGGTGCGTTTTGCACATACCCGGTCGCCACCCAAAATACCCGACCGGTTATTTAGGCCGGGGATCGCGACAGATAGCTTCTTAAGGGAAAAGAAGGCTAAAGATAAAGGGTTCCGAGTTTGAGAGAGACAGAGCGATTCCTAGAGAGAGAAAGCGACGAACCAGAGTTCCCAAGTGCCCTAGCTTGATCTTCATCATCATTGGAGCCTGGCTTGAGCTTGGGGAAGTGCCGATTGACGACTAGGAGCAGAAACCCATCCTTCACAGTATGGTTTCCGCATCTGAATCTGCTTTTGCTTCTCTCTCCATGGAGTAGTTTTCCCATTCATCTAGGTATGGAGAACCCTAGATTTGTATGTTAGGTCTGATTGTATGAACCCAAGTACAGATTTTATGATTTGATTATATTTAATTGAGGCTTGAATGATTGAATGACTTGAATCCTCATCAAATTCCTGTTATTTATGCTTTAGCCTAGAAAGAGAATATCTTCCTAGGTTAATAGAGCACCCTTAATTGAAGGTAGTGAATTGGCGACTTTAGTCGAGGAGCCAGTTCACTATTATGTACCGAATTTGCTTCGGTAGTGGAGGTTTGGTTCGTTAGGGCCTCAATCTGTTTACTCCGGTGGAGGTTAGTTGCCCGCTGGGGACTCAGATTGAGAGGGTCTGGAGACCTTTAGTCGAGACTTCAGACTGTTTAAGAACCTTCCGAAGTATAACTATCATAGACACTGAACTTGGTAATTGCAATCCGACTTAACTGCAGGTTAGGGGGAACCATATCTGGGTGACCTCTCTCGACTTGATAACAACTGTTTAATTGCTTGCTTTACTTGTTTTCTTGTTTGAACCCGCACTAAAGTTTCACCGCTAGATAATAAGAATTCACTGAGTAGTCATCACATCTAGAACCCGGGTTGACATTAAAACCCAAACCCGCTATACTACGCTTTAGGAAGTGGTTACACTTGGCCATTTTCTAGAGTGACAGTAGGAGAGAGTCAAGTTTTTGGCGCCGTTACTTGTGGGGACGGCTAGGTTGTTGAAGAAAAGTGATTTCTGTTACTTTAGCATTTTCATTTTCGCATTGATAGTTTGTTCTTTCCCACTTGTGCCTTCACGGGTTTGCTTGCTTGATTGTGTGCAGGTAGTGCATGACCCGTAGCTAGTCGGGAGGTTTACTACCGTTGGATCCGGAGCTTGAACGCACCTGTCGCCAACTTAGGAGACAACAGCGAGCTAGACTGGCTACGGAGGAGCGCATAGACGACCATTTGAGCAGCGAGTCCGAGGACAAGTAAGAGATGGAAGGAGATTACAATCCACACTAGGGGAATCCTCACCAGGGTCCCCCGGCGAATCAGGTCTTGGGGAACAACCCCATACCCCAGGCAGATGGGGTTCCTCATCATCCACCGCCGTCGGGTCCCACCTTGGAGTACTACTACACTCCACGGATTGCTGACATCCGCCCGGTCATCCTCTACCCGCCTATTCCAGCGAACAACTTCGAGGTCAAGCCATGCTGGATTCTACTCATTACATCCTCTATCCAGTTCCATGGCTTGAAGGATGAGGAGGCGAGGGTGCATCTTTCCCGTTTTCTACAGCTAACGAACGGGTTCAAGCTAAACGGTGTCCCTGATGGCGCAATCCGCCTTCAACTCTTTCCCCATTCTCTGGCGGGGAATGCTAAGAGGTGGTTGGAGACCCAACCCCCATTGTCCATCACTTCTTGGGACGATCTGGCCGACAAGTTTGTGCACAGGTACTACCCAACATCGAAGACCACAGAGATCCAGCGGGAGATCACTCACTTCCGCCAAGAGCCAGATGAGTCAGTTCGTGATGCATGGGAGCGGTACATGGGATATTTCTTGCAGTGTCCCCATCATGGTTTCAATGATACATTCACAGTGGGGAACTTCTACAGTGCTCTCTCTCCGAACAGTCAGAGGGTGATTGAGTCTCTATCCCCAGGAGGGGATATTCTTACTAAGACTCCACCCAAACTGAACTAGATGATCAGTACCTTGGCTGCCAGAGATCATTCCTGGGGGCAGAGCAGCAGAGGCAGAAATTCCCAGGACCGTGGTGTGCACGCCATGGAGGCCAGGTCCAGGCTCGAGCAGCAGGTAGCCGAGTTAGTGCAGATAGGGCTGGTAAACGGTTCCCCGGTTAACGGTTTAACCGGTAACGATAACTGGTGATAACCGGTTAAACCATTAACCGACGGTAACGGTTAGCGGTGGGCGAAATGGACTGAACGGTATACCGGATAGGTTCCGGTAAATTACCGCTAGTAAAAAAGTTAACCGAATACCGAAAACCCACTAAGTGAGTAGCAACAAAACGATGGCAATTGATTGACAAATCCGCTCCAGCCCTATTTGCGATATCTTCCTCCCTGGCCTCTTCTGCCGCGTGACAAAGCTTCTGTTCCTCTCTAGTCTTCATCTTCGTCCTCACTCCTCTCCATCTCCATCTCACGATTCTCACCACGCAGAGCAGACGAGAAGCCTGCTTCCCCGACCCATCATCGCATCATCCACTCCCTCCATGACGATGGCCGACTCCACGTCATCATTTCTCTTTATCTTCGTTCTCTCGTCTCCGCCTCACCACGCAGAGAAGGGGAAGCCTGGTCGCTCGATCCCCATCCCATCCCTACTTCATCCTCACCCGCCGTG